TGTCATAAGTAGCATTGTATATATCCATTAAATACATTTTCAATATAACTAGTACAAAATATTTAATAAAAAAAGGCTTAAATTTGAAAGCTTTTTAAAAATTTCACGCATGAGTTTTAGAATTTTTTTAATTAAAAAAATTCTCAATTAAAAGGTTATTTGGAGAGCTTTTCCAGAGCATAGATTTATTTCTGGTGCCAAATGTGTCAACCAAATTTTTTTAAAAAAAAAAGGGGGGGATGCGGCTTAGATTCGAACAAATACAATACGGCTTAGATTCGAATAGATATAATGTTATAGAAAATAAAATCTTCCTCGATCCGCAAACAGTCTTTCCGATGACAATAGCGTTTCGGCAGAGAAGCAAACATTTCGTACATCGCATTGAGGGTAAAAAAAAAATCAAATTATATTTTCATCTAAGAAAACACGGAATGGCAACACTGTGATGAATTCAACTCGAAAGAATAGAGTAGTAAACAGGATAAACGTTTGCAATCGATTTGTTCATGAAATATATTTCGCTTTTAAACTCATTAAATTTTTATGTTCCTCAGCCGGAGCTATCTAGATTTGTTTACATTTCAAGCATATTTATATATTTAAGTATATCTGTGTGAATTAGTTCGGAATTTTGAGAATCTCCATGTAGCTACACAGCAAAAATTATCGAACACTCAGCTGAACAGAACCATGTTAACGAATTCTACAACAATACCGACATAAAAAAAAAAAAAAAAAACTTTTTCACTAAGCTTTATTTTCCACTGCCAATGAGTACCTAAGACAGGGATGGCGAACCAGTGGCACGTGTGTCATCAATGGTACGCGAAACAATGATTTGGGCACGCGAGCGATCAAAATAGTTTGCATTTTATTTCAAAATAATAAAGTTCACTATGAAGTGTTACGAACAAACGCGAATGATCAGTCGTGGGGTGGCGGGAAACACATGCTTGTTATTGTCTTGCCTTAGTTACGTCGTGGGCTAAAGTTGCTTTTGATGCAAAATTTGTCTACGCATAGCATAATCAATTTCGTTGACACAACTGTATTTTAAAGTTTATTTGTGTTATATTTACGATTTTTAACTGTTATTCACAACATGCTTAGTTCAGAACAAAAAGCGCAAGATAGTAAGTGTAACAGAGAATTTCAAACTCTGTGAATCTAGAAATATGGCATTATTAATAAAGGCGATAAAGCGGTGCGTATTTTATGTCTTGAAACAGTGGTATGCTGAACATCGTCTGTACAAATCACAAATACTCTTGCAAAAAAAAAGAACCACAGCAAAAATAATTTATTGCTTAGAAACCATTAGGCAGATGACTCCAATTCAGCATGTGTGTGTACATTCTATTAAAAGTAACATTTTACAATCCTAATATAAGTTGTTCGTCATTCGCAATCTGCACCAACAGAAGTCACACTAATGTTATTTTAATTTGAATTACACGTATAGCTAAAACGTTTACAACTATACAGTACAAAAAGTTTTTTTCGTAGTAAATAAAGAGTTTTGAGAGAGAGAGAGAGAGTTGTTAGTATTTAGTTTTATTATTTTTCCAATACTCAAAAGTAAAAATTATTTGACTGCACGTCTATACCTCATTAAACATTTCTTAAGAAAAAATGGCACGTTGATTCATAAAGGTTCGCCACCCCTAACCTAAGAAGTACCCAATGCCGGTTTTAGCTTATTTCGGGCCCTGGGCACAGAAGATCTACAGGCCCCGGGCCTCTGGCCGCTCACCCCAAGCGCCCAATGGATAAACCTGCACTGGAAGTACCAGAATTCACCGAATTGCAATCAAACTCCTATTCAGTCATCATATCAACTTGCCCTACCCTGAAACGAAGAATGAACTGCGCGGGATGAAATGCTTCAAAAAATGAACAAATGTGACTGACATTTGCATTCAATGTCTCAAGACTTACTTTTAGCAGAATATCAAAAAGTAGAACGTACTGATAATAGCTGTCACGGGAGACTCTGAAATAGATTCGAATAAATTTTCAAAACCAGAGGTGTCTAAAGGTTTCATTTTTCCAAACAGGATTTAAGGCTCTATTAGCTCAGTCTTACAAAAGCAGGGGATCTCAACTTCAACATTACTTTTTGATATTTAAAAACAAAAAACCTGATCAAGCATGAATATTACATTATAATTTAAAATCAACATATTCGATCGCACTATTCAGTTTCATTTAATTCCACACATTTATTTTTCAGTCTCGAAAATGAGCTTCATGTTTTTGTTTCGTTGTTTTTTCAAAACACTACAGAAAAATTAAAAGCATTTGCATTTACAGCCTATTTATCTCTCAGAACATTCCTCGATCGTTAGCATTCTCAAGAATATTCAAAAATTTTGCATTTCGGAATGAAAAATTGTGCGCTTTTAAAGAAAATTTGTAAATTCTCTGGGTAGAGTTCTTGAGTGAGTGAATATTAACCTCGCACTGTTGAGCTGAACGAGGGCTTTTGGTGACGGACCTTGACATTTTGAACCATGGTCAAGTGACGAGGTCGACACCTGAGCTGAGCACACACGAGGACACGGGACAACTCCCTGAGTGTGAAAGGGGATATCGAAGATGTTTCTTGTGTCCTGGACAATGGGAGTTAAAGGTTGCACTTCTTGGATGAAACGTCCAGAACTTTATTGCTCTCTTATTACAATCTAATAAAACCAGTTCATGACCACCATAATATGTGTTAAAGACAGAATAACTTGAAATGTTCAGAAATACTTTAAAAACAGGGAGGGAAAAAATTGAACCACAGAAGAAAAAGTTCGTTATATAGTAAGGTGACCAACCGTCCTCCTTTAGGGAGAACAGTCCTCTTTTATGGGTCATGTCCTTCCTCGAAAAGTGTCCTCCTACTTGTCCTCCTTTTCAATATTTTAAAACTGATCTATTAATCTCTGTATTCAGAGATGAACCAAACATGTTTCCAATATGTCGAAGAATATATATAGTCTCAAAGAAATATCACACGAAATAACAGTTTTCAATGGTGTTTTTTGACTTCATCACAAGTAATTTGGGCAGATATAGAAAACTGTTTTGATTTTTTATCAAAAGAAACGCCTGATATTAAAATCGTTGACAATGGTCTGTTTGAATAAATTGGAAGACTGAATGTATATTTAAATTAAAATAAATTGAAAAAAGGGGAAATCAACATGTTGAAATTGATAAAAGATGGGTTTGAAATACTTAACCATTTCAAAAATGAACACATTCCATATAAAATTTTAGTGGTTCTAATTGAATTTACGTTGTGCTGACCTGGAACTAAGACACTAGTTGAAAGAGACTTTCCAGTTGGTAATTTTTGGACAAGTGAGAAATCAAGATTGAATGTTGATATTTTAGCTGCAAAACTTACAGTAAAGATGAAAGGATATTTTTTGTCCCGAAATTTCTCTGATATATTAGGAAATAATATATTGACAAACAAAAAAATTCATTCAATGAGAAAATACTCGTTTAAGTAAATAATTAAAAGGGATGTCAGCATAATTAGCGTATTTTTGTTTAAATTAATAAAAAGTTTCATATATTTACGTCGTAACATTTTCTTAAATTTTTCGTCCTCCTTTTCATTGTAAAAAAAAACTGGTCACCTTTTTATATAGAAAATGCACTTCGCTATAGAGAGGTTATTTTACGAAGAAAATCGTGAAATGTTTACATGTTAAATGCTTTTACAAAATGATGTCGTTGTACTGGTAATTGACAGAGCAATAGAGAACGTGTTTTTTGTCCAGCGAACAAGCTTAGTGAAACCTGCATTGTCAGTCTATTTGAAGGGACGGAATCAACGTGACTTCGTGCCATAGAACAGGCGATAAACGTCAACCCGATGATAAATGTCTTTTGTAACTGCTTCATAAAGGGTAATTGCGGGCAGTTGGATTTGAAGATGTTCTGCACACGTTGCAAATGCTGTCTTCTATTCAGCAACAAATCATTGATTTCACAGTTATAAATGCAATCAACCCTTCCCTAAGCTCCGGCGACACACAAAGAAATATTCAATGGATACTTGCAGAGAATAACACAATTCTGTCGATCCATGTCTCACATTAGAAACTAATTAAAAGTTTCAAAACTACACTTCCATCCCTCCCAAAAAGAGCACGTGATGGATTACCTTTGACGACGTCGTACTGAAAAGAGGGATTTAAAACCCTCCATTGAAAAGAATTCACTGAATTATTAAGAATAAACAAAATTGGTGTGTGAATATTAACGTCGCACTGTGCAGCTACACCCGGGTTTCCGTTTCTAAGATTATTTGACATTGTATGCTATGTATAGTTTAAAAAGAGTCGCAGGAGGATTCCAGGGGCCTAGGGCCTCGAAAAATCTTAACACGACACTAAATGTAAACAAAATGCATTTAACGCTCTCTTTGATATCAATAATTTATTGGCATTTTTTTTTCTCTTTTTCAATTTCTATTATTAGTTCAATCTCTCTCTCTCTCTCTCTATATATATATATATATGTATACATATATATATTATAATAAAATAAAAGTGAAAAAGTTCTAAAACCTCCAATGCCAAAAAAGAAAGAAATTGGAGTTTACGAGACACATGAGATGTAAATACAAACAAAGTCTTTGGACTAAACTGGAGACCTATTATGATTTCTAAAGCTGTCACTGAATTAGGACAGCGATTTACGGTTAAGCAACGCTTTATGGATCCACCTTCCCCGCACAGCAGAAATTTTCGACATAATAGAAAAAAAAGAAATATATATATATATATATATATATATCATGTTCAAATTTTCGATCGTTAACAAAATACTTTTTATTCGTCCATTCAAGTGTTCAAATACATTTTTTACAACATGTAGTGGATTACACTTGATTTTAATACAGTTTTTCCAAAAATTAATGCATTAGTTAAACATAATTAATGAATAAATAGTAACAAACCGAAATAATAGTCCAACACCATTTATAAAAAGGAAAATCGCAATGGGTAGAGCGCGTTGGACTTCCTATCCAAAGGTCGTGGGTTCGAATTCCACCAGGGATGGCGTGATTTCTGAGAATGGGATTTCTTTTTACTACACTAATTTATTGGAATAATTTAATTAAATAAATAAATAAATAATAACAAACAAACAAATAGGACAACACCCTACATAGAAAGGAAAATGGAAAATTGCAAGGGAAATCACTTTCTATTTTGACACTTAATAGTGTGATTCTGTCTTATGTATGTACAAACTTATATTAATTGTAATTATTTAATAAAAATTAACTAAAATAAAAAATTTCCTTGTTTTGACCTAAATAAGGATTGACTTTTTTTTTACATTACTTGTTTTACATCATATTACATATTAAATATTGTAAATTGTTAACAACTTCGAAGTGCATGGTATTTGTTAACGTTTTAACAAAATTTCCAACTTGAGCGTTGAATCGTCTGCATGGAACAGACAACGAACGCATTCGAACGATAGAGAGAAGTAAATTTTTACCACAGGTCGACGTTAATCTGCTTAAAGACTTAAGATAGCGTGAGTGGACTGTGAAATGCTTCTTGCTCAGGGAATGCTTCGACCCTCAAAAATTTAAGCTTTAGAAGAAAGTATTTTGTTGAGATTTTCATCGTTTAAATTCTACTGCGAACCCCTGATGGCAATTGATCATCCTACACTCGGGATTTTACAGAAACTGCGTGATCACTACATTCTCTTCCCCGAAAAAAATTTGATAAAGACTAACGGAAACGTGCACACTTCAATATGCTGCAGCTGTACTTTAACTTTGCAGAATGCTCATGGAAGAAAATAAATATTACACTTACATTCACTAGCCAAAGAATCATTTGCTTTTTAAAATATAAGTACTTTCTCGTTAATTAAAACCAGCTTTTAAAAGTTGATAATGTTATGACTATTTTCTAAAAATTTGAAGCCTTTTTTTAAATTAATGACGTGCGTGATGAGCACACAACACGCTACTAGAGAAAGATACCATGATTTTGAACTATGGTTGATTTGTTGAAGACGACGCAAGTAAAACTGTCCCATTCTTTTAATACCTACACCAAGTGGCTTGATTTCTCAGACCCAACTGAATTTAAATGAGGAACAGACTGCTTCTATATCGTACAACGGTCTCCAGAGAAAATGAACTTCAAATTCACGATTAATTTGTGACAAGATCGTTGAGGTAAAATCCAATATTAGCCCACGCCTTTGAAAAAGAAGAAAAATTGCGCCAAATTGTTCCAGCGGTCCATTTTTCTGAATTGGATTTCTGTAAGGAAAACAATTCGCCAAGTAGGCGATAAATAAAGGTGAGAGCTAAAATAGGATTCAACCTTAAACACTTCTTAACCATAAAATAATGTCATTTTAAGTCAAACCTAAAATGAAAAAAGACCGAAAGGTCTATTAAATGATTTTTGGGGTTGTTGTGTAGTTGTTGGAAGTTTCTAATTCCACCCAAAGACGGTGTCGGATCAGGCCCATGAGATTCATTCGTAGCAAGGGACCAGTTAAAGTTAGTCGTTATCCGCAACTTAAGCAACATGTAGGTGGTAGTATGTTTTGGCTCCGTTCGACCCTAAATTTTAGTGGAGAACACTGTGGGGGTACTCAAGGTGTGTCCCACCTCTCTTCGCTTTTATCAACCACTCTATGGGTCATTCGACTCGACGAAGAGTGAATGTACCTCATGCCGCATAGGCAAAATACATTTACAAACATCCATGCCTTCTCCGGGACTCGAACCCAGGACCAAAAGAACAGCAATCAACCGCCACTATACCGATTGGGCGGCTAAAGAGGAAGTGAACAAAGGGTAATACATAACAAAAGGCAATACACTTTTGAAAAATATGCATTTTTTTGCATAAAAACCTACCATTCATTCCAGAATGACTGTGAGTGAGGAATATTAAAGTCGCACTGTTCAGCTACTCGAGGGCTTTTGGCAACGGAACTCGTAATTTTGAACCGAGAGGACGTTTGAACTCTCCACAGATTTAAAGTGTATCGCTCCCCTACACGGCGGGTCTTCAGTGGTACTAGGCTCGAACTCATAACACGCCGGTCACGCGTTCGTTACCAAGACCACTAGGCTAGAGCGGCTATCCAGAATGTTTGTTTGGAGCTGTCAATCCTGACTGCCTTGTGAAACTCAATCAGCGCATCTCATATACGTTCATTTTTTTAAATTATCTCATTTACATGTCAGCCACACATTACAAAATTTTTTAATCAGTAACCACAGAGATTGTTATTTTTTATTAAAATATTATGGCTGCATAAAATGAAAATTCGCCAGCACATAAAATTGTCCTCTTTTATGAAAATGCACTATTTCGTTCGCCAAGCAGTTGCACTTTACGCACGAGAGAGCCAAGACCAAGAATTAACCCTCGTGCTACGTATCTCACGACTTCCACAGGCAACGTAGATGTAGCAAAATTTGCACATCCACAGTTTCCGCGAGTATGCATTTTTTCCGATTGTTTAACCGTGCAACCTGTGCTGATCCTGATTATGTTTTTATGTTCATATTTTTATAATCTAATTTTACGTATATACTTTAAAATAAAAAAATCTTTTACAAAATGTGTTTATAATAACTTTTAAAAATAGAGATTTGAAATACGTAATAAAAAAATATGCATTTACTGAACCTACTTTGATAAAACAAGTAATGTAAAAAAAAATAAGTCAATTCCTACTTAGATCAACAGAGAAAAATTTTATTTTAGCTACTTTTTATTAAGGTATCCGACTACGTTCGGAACCGTGATTTTGCAAAAGCGTATGAATGGATAACATTTGTGATATTTAGTGTCACTTAGATTAGAAAATGTATATAAAATTGTTTTAAGAATAGTATTACAATAAAAAATTATTTAAGTACAATATTTTGACAAAAAATGAACATAGAATGACCCATTTTCAAAATATTCTCCTTTTGTGAAAAATGCTTCTATTATAATAATATTTTGCCTGTATATAGCTCAGACTTCTCAACAGAGGCTCAACTAGAATTTTTGAAATATATAACTTAGAAGTGGGTTTATCTATATTTTACGACAACAGAGGGGAGTAATTTTAAGAAAAAAAACGCCGATAATTATTTGAATAGGTGGTAACTCTGAAAATAATGTGAATTTTTCAAAAATCCTAGTTCAGACTCTCTGGAAAGGTCTTTACTTTATATAAGCGAAATATTATTGTTTTAGAAGCATTTTTTATAAAAGGAGAACATTTTGAAAAAGATTATTCTAAATTAATTATTTGCCAAAGTATTGTATATAAATAATTTTTTTTTGTCAAAATGACCTTAAAACAATTTTATACATGTATTCTAATCTAAGTGAGACTAAATATGAAAATTATCCATTTATGCGCTTTTTTAAGATCATGGTTCCGAACGTAGTCGGATACCTTAAATAGTTACAATTAATATAAATATGTACATACATAGGACAGAATAACAACATTAAGTGGTAATTCATTTTTATTCATTATTATTAAGGTATCGTATTGTCTTCCACAACAATCGTGTATATAAAATTTCAGTTCAACTAAATGCTGTAAAATGTGAGAAAAAAATATTTTTAAGTTTTGACCAAAGTCGCTAAAAATGAAACCAACGTGGCCGTATCCGTAATTCTTTAAAAAATTAGTTTTAATCAATTAATTTTTATTAATTATAATTAAATTATTGTATTGTCATCCAAAATAATCATGTATAAAAATTTCAGCTCATGGAGCGCTTTAAAATGTATTTTATTAACGATTGAAAATTCTCCACCAAGATAAATAAATATATAGAGAGTACGAGCTATATAATAGTAGGAATTGAATAACTACGCAGCGAGAGGGTTAACTCTGGCAATTTGAAGTGGACGAAAGGTTTTTCTAAAGAAATTACCATGCAAAACACCAAATATTCCAGAACTTTTTAACACTGCTTTGTCTATCTTGTGTCACAAATTCCAAAACATGATTGTCAAAGATACATTTGTAGCAAAAGAGCGAAAATTAGTCATACATACATTGTGAAAACATATTAGGAGTCCAGATGCAAACTGAACAATTATCTTTCCAATAAAATACACACAGACTACGAACAACACAAACCGGTGAGCCGACACGCGTCACTTCAATACAAACACAGTACTGGGAGGGGGGGAGGAACTACCCAGTGCACTTCTCAACCGTGTAATTCCGAAAGTAGTAATGTAGAAATATTCCCTTTAAGTCACGCAATAAATCGATTGCTGATAAAATCTTCATCTGGTACTGAATACAAAGTTTCAACTTAAGCTATGCATGCACCACTTACTTTCAACCTACCCTACCCTACCCCCCTAAGTCTCGTGATTCTAAAATAGTTTTACATTACCATATAATAGGGCTTTCTTTTTTTAATGAGAGTAAAAACACTCTTGATTCAAATAACATTGATAACATTACGTAACATATATGACACACATATGCGTGTTTATAAATCCTACCCTCTTCCCTAAAAAGGAACTAAATACAAGGAAAAAAAAAAAGTCGTTGATGCATACAATATTTTTTTTTCAATTTTTGTAGTGCAATGTTTTTTAAACTAGATGTCACGACCCTAAATGTAATCGAATGACTTGCCGCTAGGGTTGCTAAAACTTTAGGATTTTTGATACATCATTTGCATAAAATGACCCATTCGCCCTTCACAAATAGTTTCAATGCATTCATTGTATCTGGAATATAATCCAGAGAAGAAAAAGCATGCAATGAAGAATTTTTTGACTTAAATTATAGTAAAACCAATTTTTTTATTTGTTTTAAACACATTGAGCAATACCTCTAGGGTCGTAAAAAACTTTTTGTACAAAAAAAATAGGGTCAACACCAAGAAAAGCTTGAGAACCCATGGGGATATTACATTTAAATAACATTAATTAAACACTGATAGTGATTTGTATATTATCCCCTCTCTCCCACTTAACACAGGCCGCAGTAGTACAGTGGTCACGTAAACGAGCTCGTGGATGGCGTTGCGGGT